ATAAATGAATTGTTTGAAATGTGCTCCTTGGTATTTATCAAATATTTTTGAAAAGCATGAATTCCTTTCCAAAAATTGTACAATGTGTGGATCTAGGCCTAAGAGTCAAGAGTTCATGTGTGGTAGCGGCACTACTCATTATTGCTGAATATTACTGATTTGTTGAGATGCATTTTTTGTTCCCCTAACCTGCTTATGGATATTAAGTAACCAAACTAAGGAACTGCTAAGTGTATAGTTATGATGACCAAATTGTAAATGCTATAGCATTTGGCTTTAAACATGGATCAAATTCAATCACTGGAAAGTTGTTGAATAATGCTCAGGTGACCTATAAGGCCCATGGGCCTCTTCTTTCTCTACATTTGGAATATCTGTACTTTCACTACCTGGTCAATCTTCTGTAGACAAGGTATTTTTTAAACTTGGAATAATTACTTGACATAGATTTAAATTATTATTGTACTTTTGCTGTAGTTGCAATGTATGTGATAAATTTTCATAAAATGTTTTTTTTTTGTTGTTGTAGAAAGAAAAAATATGGTAAAATTTTCATCATTATCAAAGAAAGTTATGTTTCATTGCATGTTTTTATGTCATTTATGTTGTTTGATTGTTTATTTCATTGTTTATTTATTGAATATTTTTTGGGAAAGGCCTTCTATGTTCTAAGTTTGTTATCACGTATGCGCAGAAGGGTTAGTGCATGACTTTTTTTTTTTACCAAAACGGTACAAACTCCGTAATGCAAAAAAGATGCAATTTACTGTGCAATATTTTTACGCACTTTTGGGGAGAATTTCTCCACATACCAGCATAGGTCAATTAACGAGGCTAGGGGGTGGCAGCCATTTTTAGACTATGTCAATCTCCTTTAAAAGGAGAGCTCCATATAAAGATATACAAAATGATAAAATTTTAAAACTAAAATATATAATTTTTTTCTTTGCCAAATGATAGTTGACAGCTAAATATACCTTATATCTAAAAAAATAAGTTAAATCTGGTGGTTAATTTAAGATTAAATTTTTGACCCGCCAGCCTCCTTAATTACCTTTCACTGCCTAATTCTAGGCACATTATATAACTGATCATTTTTACCCATACCCTAATCCTTTATAGTCGTCTATAAAGTGATAAACTTTCTTGATTAAAATCATTTGTTAAACTGCTGCAAATTCACTTCAAGCCAGTTTATTGCTTGTAGAGACAACTATAAATGTTTGGGAGACGAATAAAATGTACACAATGGCTACAGAACGTGTCTAGAATAAGTGAGTGGAATTTACTCGATTAACAAATGCCATATAGGTATTGGATATATGCCGAATACAGTTCTGTAATAAAAAATATCAGACAAGTTTGAAGGCCCCCCCTCTAACATCCTCGCGCGCGCACTTTTTTTAATGTGCTTATGTTCATTTTATGTTACTATGGAAAGGGAAGCTTTCAAGAATTAATTTCGATTTTTTTTCGTTATTCTCTTGATCTTTATTTCCTTTATTTTTTTTCTTTTTAATTAATTAATTTGTTTGTTTCGATTTTGCTTGTTCGTTTTCGATTTAACGTATTAATTTACAATGACTTTTTTTTATTTTGACCGTAAACACTTTGAAAATTCAACGGCACATGCACCCCCTTCTCTTAAAAAGATCGCTCCTATATTTGATCATTTAATTAATTCCCGGATCATTAGTTGTCTTGCTATTCACATGGTCAGTCAAGAGGTGGTTATAATTATTCTGTTACAACCTGACTATGAATAAGATGTTGGATTTGAAAAAAAAAAATACTTCGTTTTGTAAATAATTTCCAATAATCATCATTAATTCGATTCGTTATTTTTTTTTCTCTCTTTTCTTTTCTTTTTTTTTTCTTGAAGCGGGGGGGGGGGGTGATATCACTCGGAGCTCCTCGAATGGCTCGTACCTGTTTGAATGGAGTGGAGAGGAGTAAGCTGAGGATTGCCGATTGTACAATTAAATGCATAATGACCTATCTATTACAAAAAAATGCTGAGAATAGATCATGAGAAATTTCTTCCAATGGCAGCGTGTAAACGTAGATTTTTAGGGGATGAGAACCATGCATCCAACACCATTTAAACATATATTTTCTTGTTTTCTTTGATTCAGCTGAGTATGAATTAAACTGATTATTTACATGTATAGTATGTATAACTGTGTATCAAATATTTAGATTGTACAGTTAGAATGTCATCCGATACCATTGACTTGGTCAATAAAATATTGCATGAATCAACGTACTGACTGACTGGGTAGCACATAAGAAAAGCTTATACATATGTTTTAATTAAATATTAACGATTTTTGTATATTTTGAAAGTGTGAATTTAACGTTTTACTTTTATTGTTGTCCGACTAGTTGTTTTGCATCAAGCCTAGATATCTACATAACTTAAATACATGTATTTTTATCGGTATATTTTAGTGCTGATCAAATTCAATTCCATAATATTTTTAACATGAGAATAAAATCCAAGGTTTTCTCTTTACAAAATTGTACAACATACGATATTTTTTTTACACAAAATTTAAACAATTGCAAGCGATGTAACGTGTCTTTGTTCCATGGCAAGTGCAACTAGTCGGGCTCGTTTTTGAAGAAAGGCCTACCCCTCCCCCGTTTCCCTAATGTACGAAAAAAATATTTCTTTCACTGATATATAGTAAAGTCATAATAATTAATACAATGTGTACCGGTATATTTTATTTGATTTTAGCATCTTAAATCACCGACATATAGGCAAGTAACATCGTTAGAAAGGGGGGGGGGGAACATTAAATCTAATTTGAATTGTGGAATTTTCCACATTTAAATATAATTATCAATTGAAATAAAATAAAAGGACATCGATTTTGAACAGAAGTGTGATATAATTGATAACTAGAAAAAAAAATTATAACAATGTCTGAAAGCTGCAACACCCCCTTAAAAAATTATTCATTTTATTCCCTTGCAAGCAATCGTAAATACTCGGTCATTTCTGTTCACGAACATATTATTTCTTCCTTGGAAAATTTCCGAGTTGTTACGAATGCCTTGCGAGATAACTTCAGAGTAGGAACTTGTTTGGTTTTGTACACTGGTGAGCGGTCTATCCTCTTGTGAAGGATCCATTCAAATACCAACAAAGATTAAATCATGCTTATATTCATGTTGTAGAAAGACTAAATGATATTGTTGAATATATTCTTTGAAAATGTACAACTTACTTTATCATTTCAATATTGGTCTATAACTACATATACATATGGAAAAAAGATTTCGTTTTTTTCAAAATAGACTTATCGCTATTTTACAATGTACTATCATAAAGATGCTAAAATGGGGGTGGGGGGCACTGAAAACCTTAAATACATGTAGAAAAAATAATTTCTAACGAATACAAAAGGGTTATTTACTAACAATAACGTTCCAAATATCAATAACGTTATGCGACGTTATTCAACGTTAATAGCGTAATCTTTTTAAAATTGCATTGCTTTCAGTTTGAGTTTTAATTAGAATTTAGAGAGGTATAAATTAAAAAATTTGGTATCAAAATATTTAGAAAAACTTGCTCTTTCAGAATTGGCGAAAAAACGATTTTCGAAAATTTTGTCACGAAGGTCCCTTTTCGCTTGACGCAACTCATTTATTTATTTGCATTATCTGGTCTGCCGCATATTCTGTTTTCTGTTACAGTATATTCAGTGTAATTGAAAGTTTTTTGGTTTTTTTTTTTTTGCAATTATGTAAGATCAATGTTTTCCAAATCATCATTCTATTTGAGAAGTTTAAATTACTGTTTGTTGAATTATCACATTTTTAATTTCTTTTGTTCAGTAGCAGTCTGATTCTGAAGGATATCAGTACTGAGACAGTCTGATATTACGATTAATATCAGACTGCTCACTAATATCGGACTGCCATAGGTAAATTTTTAGACTGTAAGAACAAAGGAATGACATCACAGCAATGTTTTAAACAGTGGATACATTCTCCCGAAAAGTACGCAAAAAATATTAAGCCGTAAATTGCACCTTTTTAATATTATACGGGATCTGTGTAGCGTTATGGTCAAAGACAAACATATAAAACCATAACGCTACAGATCTGCAGCTAAGGAAGAGAGTTTATACTGAGTACTGAGTAGATGCAGTTCATTCCGCAGGGAAAATATGTGCATCAGCGATATGTTGTACTAAAATGGAGGAGTAAGGTTTACAGATTAGAAAAGACTGTGGCAAAGGTTTTATACCCCGTTGCCATTACCCAGGCTTCATGTAAGGACTAGCTGTGGCAACGCACTTTGAAAAAATTATGCACTTTGAAATTTTTTTAAAGTGCATTTTTTAAATTGTTAAAATCATGACCCACGGGGTAAGGCGGGACCACAATAGGGAATCCGATTTTTATATAGAAATATATAGGAAAAATCTTCTCAAGAACCAGTGGGCCAGGAAAGCTGAAACTTAGGTGGAAGCATTCTGGGTAAGTGTAGATTCTAAATTATAAAAATCAAGACGGGGGAGGGGTGCACAATAGATATAAGATAAGGGGAATCTGGTAAAGAACTGCATCACAAAAGTTACTCAGGTGAGCGATGTGGCCCTTGGGCCTCTTCTTAATAAATTCCAAGACAATACTTGTATTGAAACTGTACCTTGTTCTTTTGGGGACAACCTGTCCCTTCCTCAAAATAAAGAAAAAAACTATTAAAATAGTCATATAAACAAATTAAGAAAAATTATTTCATTATGTAAATTGCACTTCACCAGAGTTTACCCGATAGAGCGGACACATTTCCGATTTTTGTTCTCTACAACTGAATAATAGCTTCAATTTAACCATGGAACAATTCAGTTATGTAGTGTATAGTATTAGAGAGAGAGAGAGAGAGAGAGAGAGAGAGAGAGAGAGAGAGAGAGAGAGAGAGAGAGAGAGAGAGAGAATTGCAATTTCTGCTAAATTTATTGATATGTCTTTAAAATTGTCATTGGAGTCAAGTTTAATAATGTTAAGCGAAATTATTTTATATAAGTATTTCCTCAATATTTCAGGTCCAGATGTATCCGATACAGTAAGTATGGTTGAAAATAAATAAATATAGTTGAAAATGTGGAAATCTCAACACGAAGCCGCCTTTTATAATAACATGATATAAATTTTGATTGCCCGTCAGTGAACGATTTGAAAGAAAAAAACAATATGATATAATATTAAAATAGAAACATTCTAATTAATGTAACAAGTGAAGAGATTTCCAAAATTTCCCATTCCGGTAAAGTTAAAACAAGGGAATATAAAAGATATAAAATGACTATATATAAAAAATTTAAAAAAGGGTGCATCACTTTAGTTAATTGTTTCATAAATATACATCAAAAACTACAAGAAGAGATTTTCCTATTACAGGAGGTGAATACGTTAGATAATGAGGATGAAGTCTTTCTTCTATCGGACTCGGAGAAAAGTAGGTCAAAACTTTATCAATATTGTACAAAACATTTTTTTTGTTTTTTGGACCAAGAAGTGTCCTCATATTATTTTTTTCTCTCAAAGTACTTAAATATACCTGCTTTCCTTAATATTCAGGAACAATGCCATTTCAAAATTTTCCAATACTAGCATCTTTTGATAACAGAATGTCTTATTTGAAATGAAAGCACTAAGTTTCTAAACGCTCTTTATCCTGATTTTTGAAATGGAACGAAGAGTGTTATTTTATAAATTGTTATATCTAAAGGGTCGTTCTGTGCATAAATTGAAGTGATTCTAGCTCTTTGAAGAAATCTTTTTAATACAAAATAGTCAATCCTTTTCTCAATTACATAAGATAGCCATAGATACATTACTATGATTTTTTTTTACATATAAATCATTTAAACTAATAACCTTCATTTACATATAGATAAAACGGAATTATGAAGCTGGTATTCCCATACTTATTTTAACCTTTATAATTTATCTCATTTTTTTCAGCTGAGGGATTTGATCAGTCGAGTTTTGAAAGCGTAATAAGAAAGTACAAGCTTCAAAGTGTAGAAAAGATCTTTAAGGAGAATGAGATTGACTGCATTCGATCTTTTGTGGACTTGTCAGCCAATGATCTGGAAAATCTTGGACTTAAAATCGGACAAATAAAGAAATGTTTATCAGTAATTAAAATCTTAAATAATCGCAACAGAAAAACTGTTTCTGCTAATAATATTACGGGAAGGAAGTTAGACTACTCATTGGCAGAAAATCTTCAATCATTACCTAATGTTTTCTAATTTCTTTTTGAATTTGCCTTTATCGACCTAGCACGAAGTAACACACAGATTTTTATTTGTACATGCATTTCTTTCAAGATATTATCGCTATGGATTTAATAAAAAGAATTGTTAAAATACTCTATGGGATGTAAACAGTGAGAAATTAAAGGTCAAAATTGTAGAAACTATTTGCATTTATTCCTCTAAATGCCTTACGTAAATCAAGTTGTATAAATATAAAAAATCAGATTTTACAATGTTTAGTAAATCTGGTCAATATTTTACCACAAAATTTACTGTAAAATTGTATTTTCGCCCCATGTAATCAAATATTCGGGGATATAAAATTTCTGTCGTGTCCGTCTGTCTCTCTGTCTGCCTGTCTAGCTGTTTGTCCATTTACCTTGTCTATAACTTTTAATATAGTGGAGCTATGAGTTTCATGCTTCACACGTCTATTACTTTTGACAAGACCTTTCTCTAGGTACCACCAAATTTGACCTTATGACCTTGACCCTAGAACGACACGCTTTTACACAAAAATGTTTTATATCCTTAAGGATTTTCCGAGGGGCAAAAAATGAACTCCTTGAGTCTGTGTCCCATATAGACGCAGAAGAGTGACTTTAAACGAGACTGCTGATATTCTTGTTTCATCAGCTTGTTCTTCAATAATTTACTTCCTTTTAGAAATTGTTCATACTAGAGCTTGCTCTTGCGTATCAAATCAACTGAGATATAAATCTCAATATGCAGGCGATGAAAGTATATTGCTGCAAAAGTAAGGCAAGTTTTCATACATAGAGCTCGCTCTTGCGTATCAAATCAACTGAGATATATGAACTCAATATGCAGGCGATGAAGGTATATAGCTGCAAAAGACAAAATGAGGTAAGAAAAGTTTAAGTCATCGTGTTTATCATAGAGCTTGGTTGTAAGGTTACCATTAACGTCTTTTCAAGTAAATTATCCAATTATGAAACAGATATATCAAATGTTGAGTTGAAGACCATAGCAAGTTTTTTCTTCTTCTCACGCATTTTGCTCTAATTCTGTTTCATATGAATAGAAAAATAGGTCTGCAAATAACTGCACAATTGGTACGATGGGAATTCCGATTGATACCACTTTAATAATTATCAATAATTCAAATAGATTGTCGGAAGACTTGGACTCCTAACCCCACATAGATATTGTAAATCAGAGAGTCGATCTTTTTTTTAAATATAACTTCAAGTACTAAAACTTGTGTGCACTAATAAGAATGTGTATTAATATAATTCTGAAATGTTAAACCATTTTTAAAATCCATTTTTATTGAAAAAAATACAACTTATTCAATTTTTAACATGGGAATGGTTTAAATAGTCCAAAAGTTCTTTGGAATTGTTGAGTATCCACATTTGATTCCCTCCACTTCTTGAATATAGTGTTGCACAGTACACTTGAAGTTTTTCCTTTACTACTGTCAATATCTTAGTGAAGAGTAAAGAAATAGGCTTGGTTGTACAATTACTTGAACCCACAATGTATCTTTGTAAGTTTCAGAATCCAATATATATATGGTAGTTCAAATTCATTTCTGTTCTTAGTATTCTTTTAAGTAATAATATTCTAGATTTTAATTAATTTCAGAATTACATTTACTTAGTAATAATTCATAAAATTTAGTAAATAGAATCCATAGTTCTTCAAATAATAATATATAATTTAACAAAAATGTTGTAAGTTCATTTGTAACTTAAAGTAATACAATTCCTATAATTTAATAACTCTTTGATACTTGTAAATCATTTTATACAAAAAGGATTAGATGGTTATTATAATTATGTTTACAATCTTTATGGAAAAAATATGGTATTGAAAAAGTTAAACCCCCTCCCACCCTGACTAAATAGAATTTTAATAATTACTAGTTTTTCCATTTTATCTTATTTTTTTGTTTGTAAACTTTTTTCAGGTGAGTAAATTTTTTTTCTCTGCCTCCCCCTTTCATAACTATGTGTTCAATGTTAAGATTATTAATACCAAGGAGCAGAGAAAACTGTAAATTAATGCATTTTTATATTTTATAAGTGTAGCTGAGGTTTTTATGAATCTTTTAAAACTAAACGACTTCTTTTATCCTTTAAAGTCTTCCAATGGCACTCAGAAGGTACGCTGGGGCCATAAAATTCATCTTTTGGTAGAGGAAAAGTTTCACACTTCATGCCAACAGTTTGCCTGCTTGATGTAAAAGCTATTTTCATGGATATATCTGGAATATTTTAGCCTAAAGGACATTATTTGCGCTAGTTCCTTTCAGGATTTGTGCCAAAATTTTCCGGCGTAATTTGCGTTTCACTTTTTGGCGTAAGTCGAGTGTAAACGATACGCTTAGTCGCAGGTGTAGTTTTTATACGTTGCATTGCAGGGGCGCAAAAAATATAAACAGTGTCCACTGCATACAAAACATTGTATATATGTATATAAAACCGTAAATTCTGAATATTTTTAATTATAAATAATAAATACTTGCACTGTATTGAAAAATATTTTTTATAAAAAATTAGGACATATATACGAGTATTGTCCCAAAATTTCGAAGACTGAGCTCATATCTTTTAAAGAAATTCATGTATCTTTCTGGGTTGATAAAAAGAAGTTCTTGGCAGATAAATTACGAAGTTTTATTATGTTTACTTGAAAATAATTTGAGTAATAAGATTTGAAGTGATATCGTTCTCTAACACCCGGAGCAATCTGCAACGTCAAAAAATACAAATGTCAACAGTCTCAAATTTTTGGAGAAAATATTTCAATTACCAGAATCAAATTCTTAAATTAAACGAAACGGTTATAGTTATAAATATAAAATATCTTAATTACTATAATATGAACAAACATTAAAATATATAAACAAAGTATATGCATGCACAGGTATGAAATAATAATAATTTGAAAACGCTATATTTTTACGGGCTTTTTGTCTATTTTCTCTAATGGATTTGCACAATGGAACTCTTGCCCATTTCTTAGTCCTATCTTTTATTTTAATTAATGTTATTGACATATACATAGAGAAACCATTTTAGTCATTTTAAATACTAAGTAGGAGAAAAGGTTTCCTAGTCTACCAAACATTGATAACTGGTACATTTCTGTAAGAGTGAATTCATGATCAAAACACTTGATCATAGTCCAGTGCGCCGCCTTACATGTATAAGAAATCGATTTAAGGTTTTTACAATATTTCAATGACAAGTCTTATAAATTGAAAGTTAAAAAAGGATCGTACATGTATATCGGAATTTTATTAAAAGCTAAACTGTTTATTTTGGAATTTTAATTATATACAACACCAACCCCCCTTTCCCGAAATTGATACAGGCGAATGACTTCGCGCCATAGATAATCATTTCATGATTCGATAATTACTGACTCTACTGATAAAATACTACTAAGTTTGAGAAAGAATACGATTTTAAAACATTATTTTCATTAGATATGTATACTGAATTGAAAACAAAAATAATGTATAAAAAATGCAGTTAACATTTGTACACATTTTGAGTCAAGAAATTAATTTTATACATTTACTTCTAAGGTATATGTAAGACAATCCTTTCTAAGTCTATTAAATTTTTATCAAATGATTCATCATAATTTTTTATTGTCTATTAAAATGGCGCAAATGTTCATGAAATAATTTCGAAATACTAGACTCTTGTACAGTCAGTTATATAGACAAAAATTCTTACCTATCTGCAGCTAAAATTTACTGTACCGTTTTACAAGTATGCAGAGAGAGAGAGAGAGGAAGGAGAGAGAGAGAGAGAGAGAGAGAGGAAGGAGAGAGAGAGAGAGAGAGAGAGAGAGAGAGAGAGAGAGAGAGAGAGAGAGAGATGACTACAAAGATATTCTTACAGAAAGTCTCTGCTTGCGTGGCCTCTCTCTTAGAAATTAAGTTACACTTAAGTCTTCATTTTGTTTTCATTAGAATTTAAGCTATGCAGGAAATAAAAAAAACATGTATATTGTTCTCTTACATGTGCTTTATATTCACTCAGATTTTCTTATAGTATGTAAAATTTACTCTTTTAGACGAAATCATGAAAAATAAAGATGTCTTCTGCATCAATGTTTGTCTGAGAAAAAAAAATTGAGGAATAAATCATTTCTTGAACTTAACTGTGTAATTATGACCGTCTTATACATCGATATAATAAAAGTAATAATATTTCCCCAATTTAAATATATATTGAGACAATCTTTAATTTTCTTTTGAGAAGATTTAATTTAGTATGTTATTACTCCAATCAACTACGCCCCAAAGTGGTTGTAACCCCCCGCCTCTTCATAGTATGTATAATTAAAAAATACAATGTTTGGATTTAAAAGACTTCTAAGAACCGTTTTTTTTCTTAAGAATTCGCTTATTTGTTTTAATATTAGTTAAATTACTTAATTAAAACTTTACGCCCGTACTTACACCTACCCATGAGAAAACCTAGAATTTTGGCCTAAATTTAGTCAGGTGTAACGATACGCTGTTTAATGAAACGCAACTCTTCATGCTAGTCCTGACTTTACACCGGCGTAGCGCTACGAATGGGCGTACGACCTTTGATGAAACGGGCCCCAGGAGTAAAGAAGAAGATTTTTAAAGATGGCAATAATTTTAGTGGTTTTGGCCCCACCCCTCAGGCCCCAGGGGGTGTGGGGACCATGAAATTTACAATTTTTGTTCCCCGCCACCAATAGATGCTGTATACAAAATTTGGTTGAAATTGGTTCACTGGTTTCAGAGAAGAAGCTGAAAATGTTCAGATGTTAACGACAGACGATGACGGACGAAAACGGATAGCAATAGGTCACCTGATTTTACTCAGGTGACCTTAAAATTTAAGTGGAGAATCATATTTTTTCTGATAGCAGAGTAAGTAGATTAGAAGCACGATAAATAGTGCGGAAATAAAACAGGAAACAGCACAGAATGCCCATGGTGCAGGGATTTTAAATTAATATTATTTGTATAGTTTTGTTTAAATACAAGCGCACGGATCGACGAACAAAAAATTTTCTTAGAGTGGACTTAAATGATTTTGGCTTTTTTCAGTGCTCAGGTGTGCTAAATGTCCCCTGGGTTACTTGTGAAGAAATAGGTCAAAAAATTTTCTATTTAACTTTCAATACGTATATTTCTTTTGGATCCACCCCAATACATATCCGAAATGAACCTTAACTATGGGCAGTTAGTTCTAAAACTAGTATTTTTAA